ACTAATGGGAATGTAAAATTGTTCTTCCCTAAACACCACTTGATTGAATCATGTTTATTTGCTTCTGTGGGGAAAATAGAAATGGCTTACCTCCCAAACGCCCTCGCATCTGTCTGGCCTGTGGGTTGAGAAAAGAAAGAAAAGATCCAAGATGGCGTCTGTGACTTTTTAATATTCACGGTCTTGTGCAGTCACGCAAAGTCGCATTACACGCATGCTAATGAGGTGTGTCTGGGCTCCATAAAAGCAGGTCGCTTGGAGAAATTGGCAGAAGGATATTACACCCGTGTTCGGTGTACATTGCTTTGCATCATGTCGGACATTTTCCGACGGAAAGAGTTGCGTCCCTTACACTGTTGAATTTGACTCCTTTGCTACAGCTTCTTTTGCTAATCTCCTCAATGTAGGCTCTCAAAGAGCTTTCATATTTTTATTAAGGATGAAAAAGATCAATATTGTCTTATTTACTGGCAAACTAGAAAAATTTAACAATTTGTGAAGTCAGTCTTATCTACTGAGACAGTAGCATTACTTCATTATACAGAAACATTGCCTATATCATCTAAGAGATATCCCACTGTTCTGTTGCTTGGTAAACAAGCGAAGAGCTACACTCCTCTAATCAAAAACAGGAGAATAAAGTGTAAACATACAATGCAACCCTTACCCAAGCTTTTCAACAACTGGCCAATGATTATTCCATGTTGCATCCCAATTCTCAATCTTCTTGGTGTGTACTAAAAGCTGGACAAGAGCCCACTGCCTGCTCACAAGGTAACAAGATGAAATACAAATAGCACAAGTAATGATAACACAAACCTTGTTTCTCATATTATAAAATAGAGGTTTTATTCAGGGTTTCACCTGCTTGCTTGGATGGGTAGGTAGATGACATTGGACAACTTCTACTATGTGAATCACTTCCTTCTAACAACTCTTCATCTAACTACTTATCCCAATGTGTGCCTGGCAATACAAATGGATGAGATCAAGACCATGTGACAGACAAGCCTATCTCCTACCAAGGACAAACCAGAACTAAGTCCCAAGTATGGCAGTTAATATAGATCAACACCTGGATAAATCATATTTCCAATTTTGTTGTTATTTTATCTTTAAAAAAAAAAAAAAATTCCTGTTCTCCTTCAGTCAAAGTGGATGGTGTTTAGAATACTAGACTACAAAAAGAAACACCTAGTGGTTATTAAACAGAAACACTTGAAATCAAGATAAAATCACATTCCTTTTCTATGTCAGTGTCCATAGTATCAGAGAGAATTGATGTTGCTGGTCTTCAGGTCTTGTTAAATTGGAAAGAGATAATATATTTCTTCAGTGAGCTGCCTTACCAAAAGCAGCTATTGCTAGGGATTGATCTCAAATATAGTGAAATACAAAAAATTAAAATATAGCAAGAAATGTTAAAATGCTTGGTGCTATAATGGTTTCATTGAAAGCTAAAAGGTATATTTATGGCTGTCATATTGGAATAGTTGCTAATATGAATGATTACATTTAAACTTTACTTTTTTTTTTTGCACACACCCACACACACATGTAAGACTGCTTAACAATGATAAAAAGCTTCTCGGTTAATATAATCTCAATGATAAATAAGATACTATATGATGTTGTCCAGCATAAAACATAATATACTTAAATAAAATGAATTAAAGATTCAAAGAAAATGTTATTTATTAAATGAAAGAATTTCCACTCAGCTTCTATGCATTTAATTCACCTTAACAGCAAGCCATCAATTCTTTTTTTCAAGAATTACTACCTGAAGAATTTGATAAATTCATTTAAAGCTTCTTCACTTTGTTCCTGAATTAAGTTCTTCCTTGTAAGAAAGTGGTCTGGATATTGAAAAAAAATTAGATTTGGTGAATTGCAGGGTGCAATAAATTCTGTCTTAAATTGATTCAACTTAAGTAATGGCCTTTTATAACATGAGGATCTGTATTATCCTGTATCTCCTCAAATAAGCACCCTGACTTGAATAAGAGACCCCCACTTCAATGAAGAAGTTTTTTAACTAAGCTCTTATTTTCCAAATGTATATAAGATTTGTTTTTATCAACTTAAGACAAATTAAAAATACATGGTTTGATTTTGGTCTATTTAAAGAATTAAGAATAAATTTGTAAAATATATTCAGCTATTAAACAGAAACTCAAAACCAGTTTTAGTTTTGTCTATATTGATAAAAATCCCAAAGCTCTACTTTTTTCAGTTGCTCTGTAACACACATATTGCCAACTGGACTTCCCACCAACCAAAAAGATCAATTTTTCTTGCCCTAATATATTTTCAAAGGCTCATTGATCAATATATATATATATATATATATATATATATATATATATATATATATATATATATATATATATATATATATATATATATATATATATATATATCAATGAGCCTTTGAAAAAATATATATTCAAAGATATATTGTTAAATATGACAATGAATGTCTATTATGTTTTATCATGAGTCTTTCCAAGTGTCATATAATGGCTTTAGTTTCAAGAGAAAATAAAGACAAAAACTGTCCAACATTTGGATATTTATTTATTATATTGGTTGTCAATCTAAGTTTTCAGCTCACATGAGCCATTATCAGAGTGGTTATATGAACGTTACAACAGAAATGTTCACCGTCAAAGATGACATCCTGTTTCGTTTATGGGATAGCAGATGCAGGTCATAAAATTCATAATGCGATTCTATGATGTCGCACATGACCACATGAGAGAAAAAAATGTTATCAACAGAACCATATGTTTAAATGCATTGTAATATGTTGTGGCTAGTTTGAAATGTAATTTTGTTGAGTGTGGGTTGCTTTGTTTTAATGTAGATGGCCTCTAATATCTGAACGTTCTTTTTACTGTGTGTATGTGTGAGTATTGGTTTTATCAACTAATATCTGTTTAATATGTACATAGCTATGTTTTTCTAAGAAATGTTGTTTAATGGAAGTAAGATCAGAAAGGTGACGTAAGTCTATGAGAGAGCGTGGTTGTAGTAAAACCAATATATATAGTGGATTTATTAGTATCAGAGATACAATCTCTGAATGGGCATGTAAATTAATACACCACATTGGTTTTTTGTAGAGGATTTAGTTGTGTGATTGTAGGGTTATTAGAGACTTTGAGGTCAATTGTTTTAAATTTTTTATAATATATGATGAGCTTAACTTGTGTTGGAACTATGAAACTATTATTAATGGGTTTAACATTTCTACCTCTTATGTTTTTGAGTGTTGTTTCATCATGTTTGTAATTATTATTCATTTAGTTACAATAGTATAAGTTAATAATATGCTTATTTTGACATACACTATTATGATTACAATTATTATTAATATTATCAATTTTGTTGGTGATATTAAGTTTATTGAGATACATTTTAATTTGTTGATCAATGACAGAATTAGGGAATCCCTTATTAATGAGTTTTGATGTTATGTAATTCTTTATAGAATATGGTTTTGGAAGAAAATATCATTTGTGTGCGTTGGATTAAGTTTTTTATAACAGCTAACTTATATCATTGGGGACATTCACTATTATAACTAAGAAGACACAAGTTAATGCTAATGGGTTTTCTATAGAGAGAAGTCGTAAATTTATGTGTGCTGGAATCAATAAGTACATCAAAGAATGGAATTTTATTATTAATTCTGATTTCTAGTGTAAACTTGAGAACAGATTTTTCAAATCTGTTTTTAAGTTGTGTAATTTGATCAATAATTTTAGCTAAAATGAAAATGTCATCTATATATCTTACATATATAGGGGGTTTATTAGTGTCATTAAGTATTTTATTTTCTAAATGTGCCATATAATAATTAGAAATTATATATATTTTTTTTCTAGAGAATGTCCGTATCATTGGTTTTGAGTTGTACTGTGTGTCAGTGTATCTGTCTGTTGCAAGTGTTTAGAATCATATATTTTTAAGACCTCCTATCTTATGATGAAAAATTTTTGCTACTTTGTTTGAAAATGTATTGTTTCGATTTTACAGTTTTTAAAGGAAAAACAGTCATTGTAAATTGTAAAAGTGTCACAATTGCTTCGCATCTGAGTGATTTTTCAGTAAGTGCACTCTCAAACAAATAAGCACACATTCCAAATTCCCAATTTCTATGTAAGCATCCCAGGCACTTATTCAAAAAAATACAGTATTTACTTAGCTTTGTCATAAGACTAAATGGAGAGAAAGAAAGTGTCTCAAAATTATTTTTTTCAAATCATGATTTTAACTTGAGCTCAAATATCCATCTCTGGTATTGATGGGAAATATGAAACTCTTTCAGCCATGAGATAGGTTCTATACAATAAAATGACTTTATTTCTATTTGCTAAACTAGACACTCTTTGCCATTCATAATGTTAACATATTTGTAAGCGTTGTTTGATCATTTTAAAAGGAATGTATGAAACACTTATCTATGTTCTATGGTTATTATACAAAATCAATTTTTCATCATAATGTAATGCAAAATCTTATTATTGAATATTACTAATGCAAGCTTCCATACATTTTATTTTTACTAAAATATTGTTTTATTATTTTTTCTCCTACAGTCAATGGCTTTGGCTGACATTTTTCTTGCTTTCCTAAACTGAAATTATGAGTTGCCAATAAAAAATAAAAAATATTACAACCAGTTTTTAAGCTGTATTTTTCTCTCATGGAATTTATTTTCTTCACAACTTCAGTTCTGTTATAACAATATGAACACTGACAATTATAATGAATTGAAAAGCTTTCTATATTTGCTTAAAAAGTTTATTAAAAATAAATAGGATGAAATTACATATTTTTTTCTGAAAAAATTTAAAAATAAAATATCAATTTAACATAAGCTGTAAAGTTATGGATTCAACTTGGTTTCTAACTGACCAAGCACCCATTTTTTTTTTTTTTTTTTTTTAAATACAATCAACACTCTCATATGACTTTTTATTTAATTTTAGGAAGCTGAACGGAAAGTAGAGGAAGAAAGGATTCGTAAAGAGAATATTTTGAAGGGCAATCCATTGTTGAATCAAGAAAAAGTTGATTTCAAGGTTAAAAGAAGGTAATTAGAAGTTTCTATTTTTTACAATATAGAAAATTCAGCAACTATATAAAATTTAGCAGTATCATATAACCATTATGTAAACTGAAAGTCAAAGCAATTACCAAAAACCATAGTGAGATTTCTCAGCAGCAGTAGACAAGATCACTTTAAATATATCTTGATTGTCTCATACATGTTATATAAGAAAGATCGAGTATATTATTAAAACTCACAAGGCAAGTATTTCAAGTATAATGTATTATGTAAACATAATAATTAAGCAGTAATATAATTAGGATCTGTGAAATTAGAAATATTTGCAACACAAAAATAACTTACAATTTCTCTGTTTTTGTTTTATTAATAATGCTTTAATTCTTTGAGTTTGTACTTATATTTTTTGTAGGTGGGATGATGATGTTGTTTTCAAAAACTGTGCAAAAGGAGGAGATGATAAAAACAGCCGCGGTTTCATCAATGATACACTCCGTTCAGAATTTCACAAAAAATTTATGGAAAAATATGTGAAATAAAAAATATTTCTATGCATCTTTCACATTTTCTTCATCTTTTCAAATTCATCTTGCACATATTGTCATAAAATTACAGATTGTTTTGATTGATTATTCAAATCTTGTATTGTTTTCTGACCACACACATACCTACTCTCTTGTTTAGGAATCCTACAATTTGTAAATATCAATCCAATCTTCAAGTAACTATCCTTTAACCTTATTCTGGGTAAATAAACTCAGTTGGTACTTGATGCATTCTTTTGTTTTTTTTTTGTTTTTTTTTAAGATGGTTTCTTTTTTTAAGATGGTTTCTTTTTTTCAGTTCATTATCCTTTATATTCTCTGTCATTGATTAACAATGTTTCTTATACAGCTGATATACATCGGTGGCTTGATTTTAAATAATTTAAAAGGTTTTAGGAGCATTTATACTTTACATATTACATTTGAGTGTCAGAAATAACTTCTTTTTTGTATGCATTATATGAAATATAATTGTGCTTGTCCCTTTCTTCGTTGGTTCACACAACTGTTACGCCCTGCCAATACTTTATAAATAATGGACTATTCTGTTTGGATTGTGTCAAAAGAAGGAGAAAGACACTATTTGGTTTCAGTGAGAAAATGTGTGGGATGTGATATTTTCATATTTCTCACACTCAAGATTTAGTATTTATTATCTACCATTCAGTCCAGAGCCCAGAATGTCACCAGCATACATTGAGAGTTAAAGCCAGCAGAAAGGTGTTCAAATGATTTGCAACAAAATCTGTATGTCACACCTATAAAAACAAATTGGTTTCACTTATTTTTACAAATTCCAACAGAACACACCCTTACCTTTGCAGAGACACCACTAGCTTCCACAACACTCTTCTGACAAGATTGGTTCCATAGCCTTATGCAGTTTCCTTCACATATAATCTTAACTGCCTCCTCAAAAGAGCTGGAAACATAACTTAGCAGAATAGCAGGCATGGCACCAATTTCTACAGTCTAATAGTGATGTTCACTGGCTCATTAATCAAATTCCAAGGACTTCACCCTCTTGAAGGCTCTCAACATAAATCTTTCAAATTTGGTTTTTGGTAAAAACCCCAGCATCAACAAAACTTACCAAAAAGTCTGTAGAATCAGATTCCTACATTTTTTTTAAATCTTAAATTTTGTGCAAGTTAAACACATAGAGGCTCCCAACCAAATATAACAACTGATGCATTTTGATTGGTTGTAAAATATTAATTAGGTGTCGTCAACTACGTCCGAAGGTACCGACCCAAATTTTGACCTCTAGTTGACGCCATAAAATGTAAACATGTTTACTGAGCCTCCCCACGTGACCAAGAGAACTAATAAAACGAAACTTCGACGCGACTTGGTCAGTGGGCACTTAAAATATTGAACCAATTCACTTGACTTCATTGGAAATCAACACAGCAAAGGAGACGAACTTTATCTTCAATACAACAACAAACTTTGTCAACCATCTCCAGGCTTAACGCTCACTCCCACAAAATATTCCATTCCACAAGAAGAATCTCTGGTTAATGAGCGATAACTCTATAACAATCAGTGAGTCAAGACAATACTTTTTCTATTTAATACACAAAAAACACCTGTTTAATTTTCCTATAAAAACAAATATAGCTAACTAAACCTTGTCATTTTCACACATACAGTACAGTAACTCAAATTCTTTCAGTAACACACACCAAAGAACTCTATTGTGTTTATCAACTTTTGCACTATATATTATGTATTTGTTGTGTTTATAAAAAAATATTTATTGTTGAACAAATTCATAATTTCTTCTACTTGATTATTTCTCTTGTTGTTGTCTTTGTTACATTTGATATTGTAAAAATTGTAGAGGGTCAGTTTTTATTTCTATTTATAACCAATACAAATTGGCTGACCCACTATAAGTCTTAAATAATTTTTACTGGCCGAAGTTAAAACAAGATGTTGTTCAATTCTGTAACTCTTGTCACACCTGTTAGATGGTTGGAAAACCTAATCAAAAATTCCCTCCGCCTCTCTAAAACCTATTCCAGCATTTGAAGAACCTTTCAGTAGAGTATTAGTAGACTGTGTTGGTCTTCTCCCAAAAACAAAAGCAGGAAACCAATACTTGCTCACGATTATGTGCGCATCTACTCGCTTTCCAGAAACTATCACTCTTAGAAATATTAAGGCTAAAACTATTGTTAAGGCACTTACTAGGTTTTTCTGTCTGGTTGGTAATTTCTCAGCTATTCAGTCAGACCAAGGCTCAAATTTTATGTCCGAACTGTTTCAGCAAGTAATGCATGATTTGGGTATCGAACGGTACAAGTCCAGTGCCTATCACCCAGAGTCACATGTAGCACTTGAAAGTTTCCATCAAACTGTGAAATCTATGATCAGTAAAGTTTGTTATCAGTATCAGAAGGATTGGGATGAAGGTGTTCATTTTGTTCTGTTTGCTGCTAGGGAAGCATTTCAGGACTCTCTTGGCTTCAGTTCATTTGAACTTGTTTTCGGACATACCGTTAGGGGGTCCTTAAAGAAAAGTGGTTGACTGAGATAAATGATATGAATTTGTTAGACTACGTGCCCGATTTTAAAGTAAAATTACATGGTTCTTTCAAACTTACTCAAGAAAATTTAATAAATTCCCAAAACAAAATGAAGTCTAGATACGATAAAGGTATTGAAAACTGCATTTTCAAACAAGGTGACAAAGTTTTGGTGGTCTTACCAATTCCCAGTCACCCTTTACAAGCAAAATATTTTGGTCCTTATGAAATAGAAAAGAAAATTAGTGACTTGAATTATGTCATTCGCACCCCAGATCGTCGAAAAAAGAAAAGAATATGCCACATTAATATGTTAAAAAACTACATTGAAAGAAATAATGGGGCTACTGCTAAACCAGTTTCAACAATAACTAGCATTAATACTACAAACCGATTTGAACATTGCTTAGATAATAACGAAGATATATGTAGTGAAGGAGAAAGATATTGAACATAGTCTCCATTTAAAAAATTCGGAAATTTTTTTCTAATTTGAATGTAAAGTTTAAACATTTATCCAATAATGAAAGAAAAGTAATACTTAGTTTGGTCAACGATTTCAGGAATTTTTTCCCGATGTTCCTAGGAAGACAACCGCTGCTCAACATGATGTTTCGGTTGGAGATGAAAAATCCATCAAACTACACCCTTACCGTGTGAACCCAATCAAGCTTCACCACCTGAGGGAGGAGATAAATTATATTCTGCATAATGACATCATTGAAACAAGCAACAGTGAATGGAGTTCACCATGCATTCTTGTGCAAAATCCAGATGGCTCTTACAGATTTATAACGGACTTTTGAAAAGTAAATGCGGTAACCAAAACCGACTCCTTTCCGATTCCAAGAATCGATGCTTGTATTGAACATGGGCAAGGCAAAACACATCAGTAAATTTGATTTGATGAAAGGCTAACTGATGCTGCCAAAGAAATTTCAGCATTCGTAACTCCAGACGGATTATACTAATACAAGGTTATGCCTTTTGGAATGAAAAATGCCCCAGCATCTTTCCAAAGGATGATGCATTCACTTTTACACAGAATACAGGGATATGAGGTCTACATCGATGATGTAATTATATACAGCACCACACGGAAAAAACATTTACACATCATCAAAGATTTTTTTCTGTCAACTTGAAAAAGCAAACCTATCGGTGAACCTAAACAAAACTGAATTCAGTCATGCAAAGGTAGATTATCTATGGCCATACAGTTGGACGGGGTCAAGTTATATCACGGCTGAAGTGGAGGCTATCTTGAGATATCTGATTCCCACAAACAAAAAATAATTGATGAGATTTCTTGGTATGGCCGGTTTTACAGAAAATTCTGTAAAAAATTTTAATCAATAGGAAACCCACTAACAGACTTCCTTAAGAAAAATGTTAAATATACATGGAGTAATAAATGTGACGTAGCTTTCAACAGAATCAAATGAATTCTTAGTGGTGGTCCGACTCTTTCAACTCCATTTTTTTCCAAGCAATTCAAACTGCTAATTGATGCCAGTGATGTGGGGATAGGTGGTGTCTTAATCCAGGAAGTCATTGATAAAGTCATTTGCTATTTCTCGAAAAAATTGAACTGTTAGAAGAAATATTCCACTATTTAAAAGGAATGTTTAGCACTACTGTCAGCTCTGCAACATTTTGATTTTTACCTCAATATTACTATGCACCCTATTATGGTTTACACAGATCATAACCCATTAACTTTCTTTCAGAAGATGACAAACAAAAACCAAAGACTTACAAGATGGAGTCTTCTTTTCCAGGAATATAATGCGACTATAAACCATATTTAAGGAAAAGACAACGTCATTGCTGATGCACTTTCTAGAGTATAACTTTTCCTCGATATTGATGAGAATCAAATGTTAGAAAAGAACTTTTCCCTGTAAGAATGTGTTATTTTGATGATCAAGATCAAAAAGTATTTCCTTGTGATTGTTTTTTTTCTCCGTGTATTGTTGTTATGCACATTTTTGCACCTGAGATGAGCTTTGAGGTTTAACAAAAGTTTTGCATTATGAATTTCAAAACTTTTACTCGGGGTGGGGGTGGGGTGTCACGAGGCCCCATTTTGTCCTATTTCTTTACACTTATACAAAAAATACAAAATCTAAAATGATGACTTAAATCTGTAGCTACTAGATGCTCTTTTTACCTTACGAAAAGCTCCCATTCACCAAACCTTTTAGATTTCATAATAATAGAATGAAACTTTCTAGAAGTCTCTAGAGGGTACACAAAACATATATAAACAGGAGTTCGTACCAACTAGCCAGTCTTTGTCATTTTCTGAGCAGGATTGACCGGTCTTTGCAACTGTCTGTCACTAACGTTCCTGTTTGGTTTTTGTTTTTTTGTTTTTTGTTTGTTTTTTTTTATTACTGACGATAAGTTCCTTTTTATTTTCCATTTTCTACGTTCATTTTACAGAACTTTTTGCCA